GTGAGATTTCTCATAATTAACATGCATTATAAGCTTCTCATTCAACATTATATCACAAGCATATTATTTCACCCATTTTAGCATAAATTCAGATTCAACATGCAGTTCCAATCATACAAGTCATTATGCACAAATCAATAATCAACCAAAGGATTGTAACACTGGAAGACATCCTAACATGTTACAATTCCATGCAAACACAAATGCAGACACAATGCATGTGGTACCAACACGTGACCAAGTCACCCAACACTGATCCATCATCAACCGGATACAACAACCATCAATTCGTCCATAAACACCCGGACACTAATCCAGCCTAACCACCCATCATCACCCGGGTATCGGTTAATGGTAATACAAGTCAAATTCCACACAATGGGAATTAACTTCACCAAAACAATGCATATGCACGGACATCACTAGCATGCAACATCAAACCAGTCTATGAAATACATCAATTTATCATAACTGAACCAAAACCAAAAACATGATATCTCAACGATCATGCACACCATCATTAGCAACATAAACATGCCTTTCATTCACACAATACTAATACATCCATCCATCACAGGTTCACTGCTACATACACACCCATGTGCGTTAGCCAATAATCACTTATTCCGGGATTGGACTCATTTTCAAAAATAATTTCAGGTTTTAGGAAATATTTTCATTTTATAAAATAGAGCATTAAATTTAAGAAATAACGTCCAAAACGGCACTCAAAACGGACTTACGGTTTGAAAGTTATGAATTTTCAAAGTTTAATATTTTTCAAAAAGTTACAGCAGAACCCGGTTCCTACATATGCAGGAACCGGTTCCTGCGAAGTTCAAAAATCACGCTTCTAGAAAAATGTATGGGAACCCAGTTCCTACCTATACAGGAACCGATTCCTACGTGCATTTTTGCCAGTTTTTATAAATTCACACAGTGGAACCCGGTTCCTCCCCACTAGGAACCGGTTCCCACGACCTGCAGAGTCAAATTCTGCACTTTTGACAGCATTTATTCATTCTAAACCAATTCCAAACATACACATACGAATTGCAACATGAGAAACACCAAAACACATCCATTTTGCACCATTATAACATCAAACAACATTATTTCATCATTCCTTTTTATCATCTGACACCCTAATGGTTTTCAACCTACAATTCGACGCAATAGGGACAATTCTACGGAACCCTAGAATTCTAAACCGGGATTCCCTAACATACTATGATCCATACTATTGAATATCTAAACCGATAATACGAATTAACTAATCGAAATCACCCCTTACCTTGTGGGTTCTTCGAATTCTGACGCTTCCGGTTTTCTCCTTCTTTTTCCTCTTCTCAAATGCACGTATGATGAATATTCCAAAATAACTCTCTTTCTCTTTTTTTTCCTTTTAATACTCCTTTTATTATTCCAATAAAATAATTAAATTAGTAATTAGTAAGAGTAGAGTATTTTACCCCTCACACCCTCTAATCACTCTTCACACCACCAATACTTCTTTCCTTTAATTAATTAAATTAATTCCAATAATCCAAAAATACCAATAATTAAATTTCCAATTAAATTAATAATTAAAAATTCTAATTATTTAATAATCGGATTATTTGGGGTGTCACACTTCTCATCCTGGCCTACAAGCTTTGGTGGATCCTCATCCCTTGACCACGGATTTCCAAGCCTTGTTGTCTAAAGACTTGATGAAAACCACCATACGAGATTTTCAATAATCATAATTGATCCCATCAAGAATGAGTGGTTTGTTCATAAATCCCCCTTCCTTGTCCATTGTATCAGAAAGTATCTTTCCTGAATCTCATCTAGAGTCAGAGCAGGATGTTTGTTCTGATACCAATTAAAATTCTGGTATTCATATCTCAAATGTCCTAAGAGATATTAAGACATTGATCTCTAAACAATAACACAATAAACAATTACAAACAATCAAATAATGCAAAAAATTAAAGGAACACACAGAATTGTTAACACAGTTTGGTGTACAACAACACTTACTTTGCGGGCTACCAAGCCCGGGACGAAATCAACTAGATAGTATCAATTTGTAGACCTACAACAAACTCTCACTTATTTATAATCTATTCATTTAATCACTATCCTTGCTTAACTTCTACCTAAGACTCAACTAGGTATGAGACCCTTCTTAAATCCCTTACAGTCACAAAACATTGGCAATAACACAATTATAAAAAAACTTTAGAAGACAACCTTTAAAAACACATAATCATTCACTACTTAAAAGCTTTAGAATGACTGATAGAACTTACAACTCAATAGAACAGTCCTACTCTTTTATCAAGAAGATATGAGAGAGGTTCACAATTAACACACACAAACCTTAACAAAAATACACGTAAGTTCCACACAAAAACTAGGTTTGTGACAGTCTATTTAAAGCAATCTTCTGGACTAGACTGGGCTTTAAAAATGCAGCAAATCAGCTGCTAAAAATCTGCAGAAACTTCTGCATAAAAATAAGACTTCAATCATTAGTTTCCTAAATTATCTCCATAATTAGAAACTAAGAATACTCCTTGAATTCAACTTGAATATCTAAATCCTTAAACTGAGAGCCACATAGGATAACATAATATTCTCATAATATCCTCCATCTGTAATAAATTAAAAACATCCAACTGTCCAGTTGTACACATAGGCGATGTCGAATGATCTTGCATAGGACATCTTGTTCAAAATGTTACTCCAGTTGATAGAACATCTTATTTCAACATGTTTATGCTAAGTTAGTTTTACCAAACATAATGTCAATCACAAAAATAGAGATTTAACAGTTAGAAAGAAATAAGTGGGATGTCGCAGATTCAACCATACGATCTTACATCTGATGTCTTTGCACAATTGACTTAACAGAACTGTCATCGATAATATTTAAAATAATATTTTAATAACAATTTTAAATACAAAATAGTATGACATAAATGTTAAATCAAATAATATATATTCTGTTTCAAAATAAGTGTTATAGTTTTTTTCAACAAAAATTATATATTTTTTGCTCGCAACTCCAAAGATTAATTTTTCAAATCAAAAAAGACTTCAATAAGTGACAAAAATCTCTTTCAAAAAATTTAACATTATTGACTGCTTAGAGCCGAACTCAATATTGTAGTTGATCATTTCATATATTGAAAAATGTGATAAATTAAAAAAATATAGAATAATTAAAAAGATGGTATTTTTATCTTTTCAATTATATATATATATATATATATATATATATATATATATATATATATATATATATATATATATATATATATATATATATATATATATATATATATATATATATATATATATATATATATATATATATATATATATATATATATATATATATATATATATATATATATATATATATATATATATATATATATATATATATATATATATATATATATATATATATATATATATATATATATATATATATATATATATATATATATATATATATATATATATATATATATATATATATATATATATATATATATATATTTGTTACTAACTCTTTTTTTTTTTCAACTAGAAAAAATTTGGTACAACAAGTAAACATTTTTTATATGAATTGTTTATGAGTAAAGTTTTAGGTTTTGTGTCCAATATATTAAAAGCCAGAGCATATAGATTTTAGGATAAGAAATAATAAAAAGAATAAAATCAAGAGTATTCATGGGCACCGCATAAAGTGGTTTCTCTATCTTCATAGTATTGATGTTTGGGATGCTCAAAATTGATCCATGGATCTCATACAACCAAACATGGGGTCTACAATCTACATGTACCCAAAACTCAAAGTTTCGTTTTCTAGTTTTTGTAATCACTACATATCGAAACAATGTCAAATTCAGACTCTATTCTTGTCTTTGTATTTTCATCAATGATAGTTAATATCTGATCATTTAGATATGCGACAGCACAACTTGATGACATCCTCAATCATACCATATAATTCAAAAATATATATATTATGGATTTTAAGATTTTGGTTCATAGAAAAATTGGCCACACAAGGGTTTTGTCCCATTTGCACAAGTAAGAATACAGATATGAATGTGATAAATCAAAGTTAGGCAGATCATAATTGCATTACATAAAAACAAAATCAAAAATCAAGGTAAGCTTTTCAATATGCGACATGCATGAGAGTCTAAGGCCCACATAGCACTAAGCCACTGATTTTGACATTTGGTGGAAGATGACTCTAATTTTCATTTCTTATAGCAAAATGGTTGGGACACTAGAAGTTCCCTCATAACCAAACAACATAAATAAATGTCAATGAATCATAGCCAGCAAAGGGTTGAGTCTCTCATATAACAACAATTTGATCCAGTTCGGTCTGATTTTTAAAATATTTTGTTCGCTTAAGAATTAGAAATAAAAGATGAGGTGGTGGAGTTGAGTCTCACTGCTATGGAGTGATCCTTCCAATGTGACGGAGCGGAAATTTGCAACATTATTAGTATTACTCTAACAAAGATCTATGCCTTTCAACTCAAGATTCGCTCTTCGACCTTTTTTCCATGGCCCAACCAAACCACACAAAACACATTTCATTTCATGTAAGGACAATTTAGCATAGCAAAGATTAGTGGCTTATCTGTTGAGTGTCAAAAACTAAATAAAGTCCAACTTTGTCCCCCACTAAAAAGGGTAGGTCCCAATCCATTGCCATGAGAATTCACATTGTATCATCACTATTAGATAGTGGCATCTCCAACCAAAACCTCTAAAAGTATGTCCCACTTACCACACTACTAATGACCCTCATGATTCTAAAAAATTCATTAAGAGGCAGCTTTGTGTCCAACATCACACATGGGGTGCCACCACACTTGATCATGACTTAAATCTTCCCTTATTAAAATCTCAACACTAGCTTCTCTCATTGTCTATTCATGTAATACAAACAATTCTTGTTTCAAAGAGAAGAATTGTTCATGGAGAAAAGCAAGTCATGTCCTGAATACTCTTGTTCTTATACTGAATTTGGATTCAGAGAAAGGTCTAGCTCATATAATTTCAATGGACCAAGTGATAAAGGAAGTAGTTTTTCTGCATCAAATGATTCAGAGATTAAGAGAAAGAAGAGGATCAAGTCCTATAATGTATTGGCAGTGGAGGGAAAGCTTAAAAGTAGTGTAAGAAACAGTTTCAAGTGGATCAAGAACAAGTTCAGCGATGTTCGCTACGGTGTGTGAATTGTTACTACCAGCCATTAGATTGAATCACATGTTCAGTAATCTTAGCTTTCAAGGTAAGAAGAGGAACAAAATCTCAGATGTATTTGTAAGATAAGATGTTTTGCATGAAAAATGAATGCTATGTTTGAAATATATGTTATGGAATCAAAATGTCATCAAAGTGTGCAAATTAGAGTGCTTTGTATCAACCAAGCAAGTATTAAAAATGTTTCTAACAATTGAGATTACTAATCTTTAGTACTTTTTTTAATGCAAGCTCTGTGCTCTTAATATCCACAGAAAATTTGATATTTGTACAAATCTTAATATGGTTTTCTATTTCATATTCTTCATGCTTATTCTAGATAATTGAGCTAACCAAGTAACTTTGCCACCTTGGCACTTAGAACTCATTTTTACCAAGTTTTCATTTTATTTTTTGAGGATGGTAATTGTCATAATACAAAATCTGCAATCTGAAACAGTAATTTAAAGGGCTTCAGTTTCTGTTGTTGACTTTTAAGATGCAGCCAAGTCTATCCTAAACCTTCCCAGTTTAGTTTTTGACCTTCTTCGAACTATTCTCAATAAGTTGCTCTACAAACGATTGTTTAGATTGACTTATCTAAACTTATTTACAAACATAATCACATATATGAGACTATTTGAAGAACTTTGGGAACAGATTATGACAAGTTTTCAGCATAATTTCATACACTCTTCAGAAAAGTTTATCAAAACAACTTATAATTTTTATGAAAGCAATTTGACTTTATTTTATACTATAGAAGTGCTTTTTAAAATTGTTTGTCCAAAGACGACTGTGTCACTATTACAATTTGGAATTTTGTACTTGGACTTAACCATTTGAGTCTCATTGTTACAGATGGTATATGGGTGGTGATTATCACAATATCACTTAATAGTTCCTTATTCATCACTATCTCTTTGTTCTGCATACCTTAATCCAAAAAAATTATGGCATGACTCTATCAATTGATTATGAAGCTTAGAAAATCCAAAAGAATAAAACAAACAAGTAGGAATTAGAATTTTGACAAAAGGCTATTATAGAAAGTGACAACTCAACTAACTTCATATAATGTATGACGTGAACAATTAAAATATCTTTGCCTTAAACAATGACATGTATTATTAAATGAATACTTTGATTATTGGTACCTAACCAGAAAATAATCAATTGTTAATATAGAATAATTAGAAGAACTTTCAAAATACATCAAATCAAATGAAATAATGAAAATAATCAATTTTTTCGGTATACAAAAATTCGGATTTCCTAATCAAAGAGTAAATGTTGATCTGTTTTTAACTTTCTAAATTCTCTGGTGAAGTGGACCTGAAAATCTGGTCTGATCTGTATCTGCTATCATCTTTCTTGGTTGCATTTGGTTTTGATTTGGATAATGGAGGAAGAAGGTTCTTGATATTTTTTTCACCAATATTAGCATGATTAATGATTTTGTGGGACATCTTTTTTATCAGAAGCCATAAATGGAGAGAGAAGAGAGGTGAATGGTCCCCAATTCCAGCTTGGTTTACACTAGATGAAGTACTACTTGTTGCACTACCTGGTTCTTCACTTGGAACATAAGTTTCAGCCTCACCATTACTTCTCAATACCTGAACATACTCTTATAACATCATTTGGAAAATAAACTAAAAAGTTACTCTAACCCTTCATTAGTCGCGTGATGTTCTAAAGCAGAAGGTTTAATAATACTCGCCTCTTTAGAGGGTACGGTATGTTCAATTGGCCTATTAGATGATAAATTCTTGCGACGCTCAATGTATGTACGAGAACGCCTGATTTTAGAGTTCATGTACCTGTAAATAATAGAAAATCAATAAGAGATCGCTGCTAGTACGAAACCTTTATAGCTAAAGGTTAACTTACTTGATCTGTTCTTTGGCTTGAATATGCTCATCATCTCCTTTGTAGATTGCAGGTAAACCAGATAGATCACAAGCCAATGGGCTTGTAAAGAAAAACTGCACGAAAATTTGGAATAACTTAAGCATGTAATTATTTTCTAGAAATTCATTAGGAATCACAAGCTTGTCCATAAAGTTAAATACATATATGTAGGAATGGTTCAGGATTTGAACCACACTGAAGTAAGGAGTAGAAATTGTTTTCTTTACTTACCGGGTTTTTAAGAGCTTTAGATGCACTGCCACGAAATGCAGGATCTAAAGCAAGAAGTGTGCATAAGAGACCTAAAGAAGATGGGGGCAGATCCTTGAATGATTCTACTAGACTTGGTCTATAAGACTTTGAAGGTATAAAAGTTGTAGAAAGTTTCAACTTTTTCCAATACTCTTGTGATGGTGTGCCGCATAGCCTGAAAATTCTATGAAGTTGCTCAACCTGGAAGCAAGGAAAGTTCGTGATTAGCAGATATACGCAGACAACATCTCGCAAATTTGTTACCTATCGAGTTAGATTTTAAGATTGAGTTAGGCCTAATGTCCAAATTCTAAGTACAAAAATAAAATAGCTTTGCATGATTATTAATTACCTCGGTTCTTCCAGGCATGATTGGAATTCCTCTAAACATTTCTGCAAGGAGACAACCAGCGCTCCATAGATCAATACCGACTCCATAATCCGTGGAGCCTAACAACAACTCAGGAGCTCGGTACCATAGTGTCACAACCCGGTTTGTGAGAGGCTGGTCTTGATTTGTACTATAATAATTAGCAAGTCCAAAATCTGCAATCTGAAGCATCCCCTTTTTATCTATCAAAAGATTCGACCCCTTTATATCTCGATGCAGAATTCCTCTATCATGACAATGCTGGAGACCTGAAAGCAATTGATGCATATAGCACTTGACCTACATTAACTTTTTAAGATTATTAAGCGAGAAGAAAGGAACCAAAATGCTATAAAATGTTCAAGGCGGAAAATTAAATTTTCTAACCTGTGGTTCGGTTAGTCTTTCTTCGGGTCGAGAAATAATTCTTGATAAATCTGTTGGCATGAACTCAAAAACTAGATATATACTGTACTGCATTCTTGAAGTGGCTAACCCTTTAAGTTTCACTATATTGGGATGATCCAATCTCTGTAATATCGCAATTTCTCTTGCCATAAATTTAATGCTTTCAGGCTCCGAAGTATTGAAGCGGACCTTTTTTAGTGCCACAATATCGCCTGTGTCTCGATCTAGAGCTTTATAAACATTGCTGTAGGTTCCTTGTCCTACCTACAAAATCAAAATGTAAATAACATAGGCCAAGTCAACTATAGTTTGGTATCTGGTCTTGCGACCGACTATGTAGCACCGACACCTCTGAAAAAAGATGTGTATGTGTCGGTATCAGACACTTGCACCGACACTTGTGGTCCCACCATCCATTTGCGGGGCTCATTTAAAGACAGAGCAAAGAGCAAAGTTCTGTATGGCCTGACCCAACACATAAATTGTTAGCACTCAGCGGGATTCAAACGTGAGACCCTAACACACCAACCCCTAGAGTTATTATAGCTTGTTTCTAACAAGGCTTGTGCATTACATGAAGAATAGAATTTATCTGCAAACTTGTTGTACTGAAATCTCCACAATCCCTCATCATAAATCCTTTGCATAATCCATTTTATACTAAACAAAAGGAAACTTGAAACAGAATTGAGATATGAAGATAGAGAAACTAACCTTATCAATCATTTTGTAAGATTCAGCACTCTTTGGAACCAAACCAGCCAACCCATGAGAAGGAACATTATCAACTAACCATTTAGGCCATCCATCAACCATCTCATCTTCAAAACAGTTATTCAACTGCTTCTTACTATCTTTCAATTCACCATATCTCTTTCCTTTTCCAGCAACACTACTAGAATCAACAACTACTTTATGCTTTCTGGGTTGTTTCTCTTTCTCATAGACATGATGACCATGATCAAAGTTCTTAGTCTGGTCAACATGTTTTTGACTCTGACCAGTAGATCTTCTGTGAGCAACAAAATGAGAACTTGGAACATACCCATTTTCCATTTTGAATCTGTTTAGTCCTCTGTAACCTGAAGTACCTCCTTCATCAGATTCTTGTGATGATTTGGCTTGAACACAGCCCATGTTAATGGACTTTTGTTGATGTTGAAAAGGTTATGATGAGTATGGAAAAGATATAGAGAGTGGAATGTGAATGTGAAAAGCCGACCATAGCCGGCAGAATAGGAATGTAGTACAGTAGAGAAAAAGAACCAATGGAATGGAAGATTGAAATGGCTTTGCTTTGTCCGAAGAGAGAAAATGACTGCGCGGTTCGAAATTCCAATTGGAATAAAATAGAATTAGAATGAATCTGTCAGTTACAGTGAAGAGAGAGAGAGAGAGAGATGGTGAAGGACATAACTCAGAGTCTAAAGACAAGGAGACAAGGTCCCCTGTCTATTTCAGAAACACATGGAGACATGTTTTAAAACACTGCTCTTTCTCATTCAAAAGAAAAGAAAAAATCTTTAATATTTTTTTAAATTATATTTTTTATTATATATGAAAATCTTTTAAAAAATTTCAAAAGTTTTTTCTAAAATTTTGATTTCTCCAAATTAAAAGGATTTTTTATTATGAATAAAAACAATTTTTTTATAATTTTATTTCTACTCTAAATGTGAGAAATTGAAAGTGATTAATCTGAATTTTGCAGATGACTTACTTATTTTTATAAGAGGAGATCATACATCCATTGAGTTGGTAACGCAACCCTTCAAAGAGTTTTCTCAATCAATTGGGTTGGATGTCAATCCTAACCAGTGCAAAGTGTATTTTGGCAATGTGGAGGCTAGAGATCAGCAGGTAATCCAAAATATGACAAATTTTTCTATTGGACAACTGCCTTTTGGATACCTGGGCATTCCTCTAACTAGTAAAAAGTTTACTATTAATTAATGTATGGTGTTGGTTGATGAGATAATGGCTAGAATCGAGTATTGGAGTTCTAAACTTCTGAGTTTTGTTGGTAGAACACAACTGATAAAGAGTGTGTTGTTTGCTATTGTGAACTATTGAGTGCAATGTCTCTCAATCTCTAAGAAGGTGATTAAATCTGTTGAAGTAGTTTGTAGAACTTTTTATGGTCTGGAATTGAAAAAGGCTTCAAGGAAGTCCTTTCCACCTTGGCAAAGAGTTTGTACTCCTAAAAAGCAATGAGGGTTAAACATAATTTCTCTTGGTGAATGGAACAGAGCTAATATGATAAAGTTGCATTGGAATTTGAATGGTAAGGCGGATAGTCTCTGGATTAAGTGGGCCCATTGTTACTATACTAAAGGTATGAATATTTTGACCATGTCTGTGAGGAGTTCTTGCTCTTGGATCCTCAAGACTATTTTGAAACATAGGGAGATCACAAATCAAAGTTTAACATGGAACAATTTGATGCAAAAGGATAAGTTCAAAACTGGTTTGATGTACCAAGACATCAAAGAGCAGCATCAAGTGGTGATAAGGGGGAAGATTATGTCTGGAAACATGTAAGTATTGAGTGCGCCTAAGAGGGAGTTAGTTAGGTATTTTGAAATTTTTCTGGTTTTAGAGATGAATGTTATTATTTTTTTAGTTTATGGTTATGTGATGAAAGCAATAAAGTGTAGAGAAATAAAGAAAACGAAGGGATTATACCAGTTCCTCTCACAGTCTGAGAGTATGTCTAGTCCCCTTACAACATGTAAGAGATTTCAATAATGTTAAAACTTTGTACAAGCCTAAACTAGACTTCTAGACACAAGCTTCTAACCAATCACTAACGCAACAACACCTTATAATCAACCAAGTTGAAATGAGAGCAATATTCTTCAATTCAACTTTCTTGCTTCTAACAGTCCTGGATAACAAGGTATACAAACCAAACAAGTAGGAAAAAAACAATTCTTTCTTTTCAACTTTCTTGTTTTCAACAATCTTAGACAACAAAGTATACATAATTCTGAAAAATATTAAGAAGTTTGAAGTTGATGTGTGTGTGTATATATATATATATATATATATATATATATATATATATATATATATATATATATATATATATATATATATATATATATATATATCAAGTACAAGAGTTGGTCTTCCCTTTCAAGTATACAATTCAATATAATATACAAGTGCTTAAATGCAGGGCCGACCCAATCAAATTGAAGGTCTCGTTCTAATTTTAAAAACAAGCCTAAATTTTTAAAAAAGTATAATTATAATAATAAAAAATGAGACATTAAAAATATAATTATATATTAATAAAAAGAAAATATAATTATAATTATTTTGACTTTAATTAATATCATTTTTTAATGTATTGGATTTTTTATCATAGCATTTTTTTTAATTTATTAGATTTTTTATAACATTTTTTTATGTTTATTAATATTAATGTAAAAAAAATTGACATATTAAAATGTTGAGGCTCTCTAAAATTTGGGGCCTATGTTGTAGAGCCTGTTGCTCGTGCACATGGCCGGGCTTGCTCAAATATTTATAATGATGCTGAAACTTTTCTAAACTGTTATGAAAATGTATGAAGACAGTTTCAATGAAATTTCAAGACACAATGCACTTGTATTTGAAAAATGAGATGAAAAATATGTTTGAATTGATTCGAAAGAGATGTGTTTTTGAAATCTTAAACATATGGTATTTATATTAGTATCATACCATTTTGAAATAGCGTAAATTGATCAAACTATGTAATTATTGATGGTATAAAAAAGAATCACATTTAAATCTGAATTTTAGTGAAAAGGGGTCATTGCTTCAGTGGTAATCGGTTACCATAGAGGGTATAACCTGTTACACCTGAAGCGGTATAAAAAAATTCAAAATTTCGAGTATGTAACTGCCCCGATTATCAGAAATTATGTAACTAGTTACCACCTTTAAAAATGTCATAGAATGTAAAACTGAGTTCATGTAATTGGTTACCAGAATTGATGTAACAGGTTATCGCTGTACAAAAAAGACCATATACTTATAAAAATTAATTGAAACAAGTGGCAATAAGTTTTTATGATGGTAATGCATATGTATAAAAATATTAAGTAATTTTTTAGCACGTAATATATATATCAAAACTTGGATTATAACTTGTACCAATAAATTTTGAAGATCAATTATCCAAGGCTAATCTTCATGAAATTGCTTATATATCAAGTCTTGATCCATATTTCTTTGATCTTTTTCTCATCCTTTCTTGATACAAATGCATAATAGTCGTCTTCATCAAAATGTAGAATTTGGAGAGGCTTGACTTCACATTCTCCCTCCTTTTTGATTATGAAAATCTTTAAAAGTTGAAGTGCTTTATATTCTTATGTGAATGCTCCCCTTAAATTTGATAAATCCCTCTTGATTAAAGCTCTCCCTTGATTTATAGATAACTTGACATCTTTGTTGCTGCAAAAGTTATAGACAACCATACACATATATCTTCTCTCTCTTTGTCATTAACAAAAAGGATGGGAAAAAGATAAATTATTTAAAGAAATCATGAAAATTATTAATTCTTTTACCTATGAGTTTTTCCTCATGAGTGACTTCATCTTCAATCAAGCATCCATCTCTGATGAACTTGATTTTGAAACATTTTTCACAAAGTTGGCTTACACTTGGAATATTATGCTTTAGTCCTTCAACATAAAGTAAATCTTCAATGGATGTGAAAGGTGGTTCTCCAATTTTGCCAATGCAAATAACTTTTTCTTTGTTGTTGTCCCCATATGTAACATAACCTTTGGCTTTAAGCACTAAATTTGAAAATTTGCTTATGTCTCCCGTCAAATGCTTAGAATAACCACTATCAAATACCATAGATTTATATTAGTCTTCAAGGAAACCTACAAAATAAATTAAATTTTGTTTGGTACTCAACGTGCTTTGGATCCTTCATAGTTAGTATCTTTCTTAACCCACACATAATACCCACTTGCCACACTAAAATTTCTAACATAACAAGCATTGATTGTGTGACCAACTATACCACAATAAAAGCATTTCGGAACAAATTTACTCTTATATCTTGGAACATAAGTTTTCTTTCGAAAATTTATCTTCTTAGGATGATGATGCATATACGTACTTTGTTCACTTTATCTTTAATTGGTTGATCGCTAGCCTTAACAAAGATAATTTTCCTAGGACTTGGTTTATGAATTGTAGAATAACCAAATCCACTTTTTTTATTGGAATATCTTTGGTGACTTAGAACACCATCCAAACCAATTTTTCTTTTTTTCATATCTTACAAGAACTCTTTTTAATTGGACAATTTAAAACGAAAGTGAATCACGCCTCTTGCATGTAAAGTTTTGTTTTTCGTTTTCAAGAAAAGTTTATTTTTCAACTTCAAAATCTTTTTCCATGGTGTCAATATTTCCTTCAAGAGATAAAATTTGTTTCTTTTGTGTTGACACCATTTTATATAAAAAAAATTACATTCATTGAATAATTCATTAATAGCACGTTCTGCATCATTATAAGAGGATATTTAATTACTAACATCTTATTCTTCATCATTGGAATGATGTGTTGCTACCAATGAAATATTTACATGTTCTTCGTCTGAAGATGAACATATTTCATTGTCATTCCATGCTACATATGCTTTCATTGGCCTTTTGTTCTTCTTTCTTTTGAAGTATTTATTCTTCTTTTCAAGTGTAGCGCATTCACTTTTAACATGTCCTTTTCTACATATTCAAAGCATGTAACCTTCCTTGTTGGGGCTTTCCTTTTAATGATCTTTATTTTTATTTATTTTCTTAGAAACTTTTCAAACTTCTTGATAAGATCATCATCTTCATCACTATTAGACTCATCCTCTTGATTGTTATCATAATTTTTGACTCTCGTCTTTAAGGAAATTTCTTCTGAATCTTTTACTTGAATTTCATGATTTTCAAGTCTTCCAAGTTTTGTCTCATATTCTTGAAGTTTTCCGAACAATATTGCGGAACTCATTTTGGATAGATTTTTTTCTTGGATATTACCGTCACTTTTGGTTGCCATTTCTTGGTTAAATATCTATTCACCTTAAGATTAAGTTCATCAGTAGTAAGAGTCTTACCAAGTGTTTCAAAGTGATT